TTCGTCAATCAATATTTTTCACAAGAAATATTATTCTTGAAGAATTCTAGTTTAATTTTCTGAATAAAAATCCCAAACAAACCTTTTTATCTTAAATTACTCTAATCATTTCAACAATGTTTTATGTAGTTATTCCAACGAAGATGATTCAATTATATAAAATTGATAATTGATAATTGATTTTCTTAAATTGATTTTTAATTTACTTGATAATTAATTAATGTTGAATAAATTCTCTATAAGACTGAATGATCTATTCGATCAAAACAAAAGATTATTCCATCTTGAAAAATTATTCCTCTTAATATATTCAACAATTATTCAATTTTCAACTAAAATAAAGTCAACATTTCTTGATATTTTCAAAAAATCATTCATTCAATTCGAATAAAAACTCAAATTGAAAAAAAAACTACCCAGAATTCGAATTTTTGTCAGCTTTATCCACTAACTGTTCCAACATCCTCCGCTTTCTCTCCCGAGCTTCAAAATTCCAAAGTTCTCTCCTCCGTGAAAAAAATATAAATATCACTGCATGTACGTCTCGATCTCCCCCGAATAAAATAAGCCCCCCGAATGCCCGAAACAATGACATACGAGCGGGTCGAAATGTTAAAAAACGGTTGTAAAAATCAATGAGAGGTGAACGTGAAGAATGCAATGGAGTAGGTGATAAAGCCCCCAGTCGTCTGGTTAATATTGCGCTTGTATATAAATACATACATGCACTGAATCCCATAAGGGATAAAGATGGTAGATGGAGGAGGTGGAGATAAAAGGCCGAAAGCCAAAAAGAACAAACGAATGAAAAAAAAAAATACCGGAAAATTAAAAAGAAGAGAAAGATACAGGTGCAGGCGTGTATATCGCTGGAGACGGACGGACCGAGGACGAGAGAAAGACTTACGGACGAAGGTGGGATTGAGTTATGACAGCGTTTGCTCCAGGGGGCCGGCTTGAGAGGCCCGCTATCCCATACCTGAGTGTATATTCCTCTTATTCTTTTAATATATATCCTTCTTTCCTTCTCACACATTGGATTTATGCTGCAACGAACGTAGAAACGTCGGCCATGCATCAACATCGGCTCAGAATAAGTAACAGAGAGTCCTACTTGGTCCTGCCTCTTTCGTTACCACCACCCTCTTGCCAGGACCATTATTGCCGCCTACTTCGCCATCATTCTCCTTTGGGAATATGTATAACCTCGGACGTATCAAGGATTTTAATAATGCCCGGTTCTAGGGGGCAGATATTGTTCTCAGATTAGCCGGACCAAGCTCTCGTATCTGCCGCCATTGAGAACTGCATTTTTAATAAATATTGAGAATTGAAAATTGAAAATTGGGGATGATGGTGTTGTTAATTGAGGGATAAAGTGAAATTCAATTCAACTTGTTCTCTTTGGTGTTACGAAAGCATTTTTTAGTTTGATTGTTCTTCTCTTTCCGCTTGGCCGTAATAATGTTATTTTATTTCATTTTATTTTTAATTAATTTCATATAATCCATATGTTTAACTTTGGATTTATTTAGGCGATGAAATGAAATATATGAACACGCAGATCACAGATGAAATTATGAACATTCGGTGTTCATTCGGAATCAGTCCTTCCTTTAATCTGAGTTTTTTTTTCTTTTTTTTCAGTTAGTGGAAAACATTTTCCTCGCGGATTTTCAATTTTTCAAGTTTTGGTTTTTCATTTTTCCGTTTTGAAATTATTTAAATTGACCTTTTTGTTCAGGATTTTCAATGGCTTATTACGCTTTCTAATAATGATTAATTCATTTTTGGTTTCGATAGTATTTCAAGAGTATCCAAGATTATTTTGGAAAAACCCCGAAAATTTTCTCGATTTTTCTAGGACATCTGAGAATTTTCTAAATTTTTTGAAGAAAACTGGAGAATTTTCTGAACAGGCGGAAAATTTCCTGACATTTTATCGAAAAGTGGAGAATTTCTTCGAGTTTTATCGAAAACGGAGAATTTCCTCGAATTTTTTGGAAAACCGCAGAATTTCTTAAAATTGTATCGAAAACCGGAGAATTTTCTTGAATTTTCTGGAAACCCGAAGAATTTTTCTAAATTTTTTAGAAAACTGCAGGGAATTTCCTCGAGATTTCTGGAAACCCGGAGAATTTCGTAGAATTTTCCGGAAAACCGGAGAACTTTCATGTTTTTTTTTTAGAAAATCGTATAATTGTCTGAAATTTCCTATAAAATCAGTGAATTTTCTCGAATTTTCTGGAAAACCGAAGAATTTTTATGAATTTTTTAGAAAATAGTACAATTTCCTGAAATTTTCTATGAAATCGGTGAATTTTCGCTAAATGTCTGGGAAATTGAACAAATCTTCTGAATTTTATAGAAAACCAGAGAGTTCTCGAATTTTCCAAAAAATCTAGAATTCTCCCCAACTCCAACAGATGGCGGTGCGGCATAACGACTTTCTCCCAAAATACCCCTCCCACGTAAAAATAAATGATCAATTCCCAAAAAAGACTCCACAATCCCCAAAACCAAAAGCATTATTTCTCCGCGACGAATTCCACCTCGCAGCCTCTAAAATCCACCCACACCGCAGCCCGCCATTTAAAAATCCGTTACCCATCCCAAACGATCCCATTAAAATCCCCATTTTATTACAAATATCCAGTTCCTCCGCATTTGCAACTCAACATGAGCGAGTGGGTTCAACAATCACAAACAGGCTCACCTCGTTCAATTGTGCCCCACATGAAGGTGACACATACCCAAATGACCTTGTCCCGTTGACTGGGGGTCAAAGAAATCGACCGGTTCATCGCACCGCAGTCCCCTCGAATCGATAAAATATCATCTTTACAAGTGACATTATGCCTGAAATACACGGCGCATCCAACAATGCACATCTCCCCATTTCGAATGAAAATAATCATCAATAAATAGTGATTTCCAATGGCCCATGAATTTTCATCCACTGATCCTATTAAGAGGCAATCAGAAAAATAATGGACTGAAACACCAGCGGATGAAACATGTCTGAAGGTGAAGTGGAACGGAATAAAAAGGATAGAAAATAAATAATGAAGAGAGAAAAATAGATAATAATAAAAGAAATTGAGAGATGGTAGGAGAGGGGTTGGAGGGGGGGGGGGAGATGAAGTATCGTGCGTCGCTGTAGAGTAGGACTATATCGGTTGTGAGCAAGAGGCGACCGACAGGCCCCGAACCAAGGACCGAGGAGACCGACCGGCCATAAATACCTCACCGCGTTCAGCCAATTAAAACAAATCATTTTAATGCGCAACCTTTTTAATTAATGCCCGCGTTCGTTCGCTCCCATCGCTCTCACTCTCTCGTGCATTTTCGATTTATCTGGGGTTGGGCTGTGTTGTTACCTCGGTGCCACGATGTTATTGGCTGAATTTCACGCTCCAGTTGATATTTGAAATTTCAATTTTTTTTGGCGTTGCTTATTTGAGGAGAAATTTACAGAATTGGGGAAATAGACTTCATTCGGGAGATTGTTCCTTCGTTGGTTTTATTTATTATTGATTTTGATGCTCGCCCGCTCCGGAAATATCAACGTACCGTTATTATAATCACTCATTATTCTGGAGAATGATGCGAAATTGGTGCAGCTAATTGAAAGTCATCATTGAGTGATTTTAATTTAATGAGCGGTGGAGGAACGATGGAAATTAATAATTTGTGATGTTGGGTATTGTATTGATGATGCAGATAGGTTACTTCGTGATTATTTTGTTACGTCATTTTTTTTTAGTATAGCTATTGTTGCTAATAAATTAGCAATTTGCTTTCGAATGGGTTCTCTTTTTTAATTCTTATTTCACTATTCTCTTCTATTTTTTCGTGTCATAGTACTATCATCAATTGAAATATCATCAAAATTTTGCGTGTTATTTTGTTCTGTCAAATAATTGTATATTCAGACCCTCTCGAGACACGAATTCGTTTTCAGTCCGGGTTTAATCAAGGTTCAATCAAGGTTTAATCAGTGTATAGTCGGGATTTAATAAGGGTTTATTCAGGATTTAGCCAGAGTTTAACCCAGCTTCTGTCAGAAGTTAGTCGGGACCATGAATCAATATGAATAAGTATTCAACATAATAGACTGCTACCTGAGTTTAATAGAGATAGACATTTTGATATAAAAAGCTCATGACGGTATTGTGTAACTTGATAAGCAATGATACTGTTCTTACCATTTTTCAACCTGATTAAGAAGCCATTGAAATATACTTTTCAAGCCCTGATTTAATTGCTATTACTGATGATTCTTTCAGTAATCATGAAAAAACCGAGTTTCTCTTTCAAATCGCATAAACAATGTGCTGTAACTCAACAACGAATTGTACGACCCCCATCTTATTCTGATAGAATCGAGGGTATTGTTATCAATTTTTTGAGCCATGACTAATTCCATTTTGATGACAATTTTTTGAGTGATCGTTGAAAAATCGATTTTTGAAAAAATATCAATTTTTTCGAATTTTTATGAAAAATTGAATTTTAATTGGTGCCAATGAATCGAGCGTATTAAATTCGATAATCATGAAAAAATCATGAAATTTGATTAATCCGTTTGACTAATAATGAAATAAAATTCCGGACTTGAAATTTTCTATTCGTTTTCATTAAAATGTTTGGATTGTATGCAAAAAATTAATCCCAAATAAAGGATTATTGCATGTTAATTTCATCTCTAACTGATGAAGTCTTCATTTTAATGAAGGGAATGTCATCCATACATTTTATAAACTATTCATTCAATTTGAATATAAACACAAATAACAAATAAATTTGATTTAGCATAAAATCTTCATTATATGTTATTTGATTAAAGAAATTTATTTCATTGAAGCCAAATTTATTTGCACGTAGCATTATTTCCTCTCCTCGCGAAATTATTTTACCATAAATTAACAAAATAAATTTTCATCTCTGGGATGTTCTGACATCTACCTATATTCCACCCATGATCTTACTTTTTCAAGACACACACTTCGACAACACATGCTCCGTCATGCTGGCAAGAGCTACAAGTGCGGAGTTCCGGGCTGTCCAACTGTTCTCCGAACAGCGAATGAACTCAAGAGCCATCGCCGACTGATCCACGAGACCGGTCCCAACGATCGCAAGTTTTCGTGCAACGAGTGCAGTTATGCAGCCAAAACTAGGACACAGCTACGTCGGTGAGTAATAATCTTCCTCGTCCGATGAAATACCCGTATTACATTCACCTCAAATTTTCAATAATTCAACTGTCGGTCAATATTCTATTTCCTGCCTCTCCCATTGCCGGTATTAATTAAGTCACATCAGCGGTTGTGGAATTAATAAAAACAGGTCTGTTTCACTTCAATAATCCGATGAGACAGACGAAATGGCACGGGCGAGGGGAGAGGGTTATTCCACTTGGAGTGATTGCTAACGATTTCGAGTGTGAAAACGACGGGAATTTTAGGGATAGAATCTGTGGGATTTCAATTGCACGATTTGACCTGTTTTGAGCTGTCATGATGAATGTTATGGGTTAAATACATTTGACCCACCCGGTTTGACCCAAATGATTTAATAATAATAATAATAATAATAATAATAATAATAATAATAAGGCAGTCTTCGAGGTGAAGTCGGGACCCTCGAGGATCGTTCAGCGATCTCATTTACGAGTAAAAAAAAAAATAATAATAATAATATGAATAATATAATGTAATAGAATAATATGGGTCAAATTTCAAGGACCAAATTGTGTGGATGAAAGAGATTTGACCCACAGTGATAAATATTGTGGATCAAATGAATTCGACTCACACAATTTGACTCAAATAACACGATTCATGACTGCAAATGATTCAAACGATTTTGAATAATATGTGGGTCAAATTTTAAGGGCCAAATTATGTGGTTGTGAAGAGATTTGACCCACAGTGATAAATATTGTGGATCAAATTGATCCAACCCACACAATTTGGCCCACATAACATGGTTCGTAAGTGCAACTGACTCAAACGAGTTGAAATAATATTAAATGAGTCAAACTTTAAGAGCCAAATTGTGTGGGTGAAAGAGATTTGACCCACGATGATGAATATTGCGGTTCCAATGAATTTGACCTACCCAATTTGACGCAAATAACATGATTCGTGACTCCAACTTACACAAATGGCTTTATAAATTCGATTAATATAATATGGGTCAACTTTCACGCAGTAAGTGCTACGAACCAAGTGCTACGAATGGAGAATTGACCCATAAAACTTGACCCGAATAAAGTGATTGCCCCGTGGCTGCAACCGACTTCAAACAATTTCATAAATTGAAATAAAATCATGTGGGTCAAATCGTAAGGGTCAACCTGAAGTCACGACATCGTCGCACCATTCAATAACCTATAAATCGCTTCTAACGAATCAACAATAATTCCCTCAATTCCCAACATTCTCTCAATAATAATTTCTCCTCATTCCAGCCACCAAGAGAAACACAAAACCCCGCTGAACCAGGCCCATTTAACCTGTCCATATAAAGACTGCACCTTCGCAACTCAACTCTCGTCACATCTGAAGCGCCACATTCGCGTACACACCGGCACAAAACCCTACAAGTGTCGCCACTGTCCCTACGCCAGCAATAATCTGGTAAGTACCTCCTTAAATCAATCAACCCCCGGTCAATATCACATTCAGTACTTTCGCATGAATTTCTCTCCTGCATCTATCTTGTCCACCATAATTCCTCGGCATTTCCAACCTCTTCACCGCGTTGTGTTGCCGTTGAACCGTCCACTTGGTGGCGTAAATTAAGCAAGGTACACCTTAATGTTTGGACCGCGCCGCCGCCACTGCGATAAGATAACGAGTTAATTGTGCTCACTGGATGCCCACACACGCACGTCCAATCATACCGCATGGGCCGGGTATGCTAATGTTCTTCGAACGCTTTAGTTAGGGATGCTTCTTGCATACGACGCGATCCAACGTGTCTCTTTGATAGGGAGACGTAAACTAATTTTACTGAGTCTCCCTTGAATTTAAAGAAAAGTCACAAAAAAATTGATAATTCATTCGGATTACTGCGAGAGTGGATTCTTCCATTAATAATTTAATTTGTTAATAATCTTTTGAAAATTAACAATTGCAGGGGAGAATGCGGTTAAAATGGACCGCCTTATATTTTCAATATTAAGTTCAAGATATTTTCTTAATCTTTGAAATTACATGATTTAGTCACTAGACATTGCGTTTTGCCCCGCTGTCCCCGATTTTTTATTCAAGAACATTCGCTGTTTAACTCGCTGTAAACTTTACGAGATTAGAAGTTGTCACGAAGGCCATCCAAATGCCACTAAAATTTCATTTCATTTCGTTTTTTGGCTATATCTCTGCTATATCTCTGGAAGTATTGGGGCAAAACGGGTGTTTTTTTAGCCCGCTTCAAGGTCCTCCCTCTTTTCAATAACTTTACTTCCACAGAAAAAAATATACTTGAGTAATTGAGTATAAAATATACTTGAATCAAGTATTTTAAGTAAGGATAGAAAAATATTCAAGTATATTATAAGAATAAGACACTTGAATCGAGTACATTTTACTCGAATCACGAATAAAATATACTCGATTCAAGTATATTTTTCTTGATTCGATTGTATAATATACTACCGAGCTGATACGAAATAATCATCCTCCAATTGAGACACCCATCCCCCATTCGAGTATACAATATACTTGAATCAAGTATATTATTCTTGATTCGATTATATAATATACTTGAGTCAAGTATATTTTATACTCGAATGGCCTTCGTGACAACTTCTAATCTCGTAAAGTTTACAGCGAGTTAAACAGCGAATGTTCTTGACTAAAAAATCGGGGACAGCGGGGCAAAACGCAATGTCTAGTGACTAAATCATGTAATTTCAAAGATTAAGAAAATATCTTGAACTTAATCAAGTATATTATTCTTGATTCGATTATATAATATACTTGAGTCAAGTATATTTTATACTCGAATGGGGGATGAGTATTTCAATTCGAGGATGATTGAAGCGTTCTCAAGTGTAATATAAGGGTCAGGCCCTAAGTGTGAGAATAGAAGGGTCAAAAAGTGGAGGTTAAAAAATGAGGGTCGCAATATTAGAGTGAAAAATTGAGGGCCTGAATGTAAAGGTGAAGGAATGAGAGTCAGAATGTTCGGGTTAGAAAAAGAGGGTCAGAATGTTAGGATCAAAAAATTAGGGCCAGAATATAAAAGTAAAAAAATGGGTGTCAGGCAATGAGGGTCATATAAGGGCTAAAAACGGTGATCAAGCATAATATATGACTTATATATTTAGACTCTCATTGCCTGACACCCACTTTTTTTACTTTTATATTCTGACCCTAATGTTTTCGCCCTAATATTCTGACCCTCATTTTTTAACCTCCACTTTTTGACCCTTATATTCTGGCACTCAGTGCGTGACCCGTATATTACACTTAAGAGGGCTTGCCGCAAAATTGAATTGAGATACCCATCCCCCAATTGAGTATAAAATATACTTGATTCAAGTATTTTTTTCCGTGTCCGCAACTCAACCTCTCCTTTCTTATATTTCACTCTGTCGTTCTCATTCGCGAAAAAAAATATAAATAAACTTGAAGGGCTTCTGTTTACTCAGCAGTTTAATAAGGACCGAAAACGTGCTAGGCATGGGGTAGTTTAACGAGAAGAGGGGGTTGCCCCCCCCCTGACACACTGAGTACGCTCTCTGCGTCGACGAGATTACACGCGCCACCTTCCTTCCTTCCTTCCTTCCTTCCGTCCCCCCGCGCGCGCACACACACCCGCGTTTATGATTTACCACGGATGATTACACGCTTCTTTCGCCGCACACACGAGAGCCACTTGGCCTCACACCCGCATGTCTACAGAGGTTCTTATACATACAAACGAGAGTCAGTTCTCACTTTTCGCCGGGTTTTTTTTCCTGGTTTTTTTCTGCAGCTCATCTTTCGACCTCTTCTCACTTTACCTCTCTCCATTATTCTTTTATGGCTTTGATTATGCAGGGGATATTTTCATGGGTTAATTTTCGCCGATTTGGAAATTGCATCAGAAGTTCAGGAAATTTGTGATCGAGTGAGGGCTAAATGAAGAAATTCGCCGGGAAATTATGGAAATTTTTAATATGAATGACGGAATAATTCGGTGAATTGTGGAGTTTGAGACTGAAATTTCATGAACAGTTGAGAATTATTGTCTTTAGGAGAGGGATATTTAATTAGATTCGGCCGAAAAAGTTATGAAATTTCAGATTTCACTGAGAATTCACTGAAATCTTGAATATAATAATCTGTTTGAGCTCATTCTTTGGCAACGATTCTCGCAAAAACGACTGAATGGATTTCAGTGGTATTTTTACTAATACATAGTTTACTGTCGGCTGTAGGCTACCAGTTATTGCGCTACGGTGCATAGTTTAGTATGCACCGTAGAAACTTCCAGAAAATTCTAGAGCTTTCTGAAAAATTCTGGAATTTCCTGGAAAATTCTAGAATATTCTCGAATGTTTGAGAATATTTGTGAGACCGGTTACTCACTGAGAGAAAAATCTGAAGTTCGATTTACAATAAGAAAATAGTTGAGGCAGTTTTGGCGAACGATACAATTTTTTTTGTATGCGACACATAACATTATAGTACCTTCACAAGCGTAATTTTTGCAAATCAAAATGCAGTTAAACTAACCAAAGTTCAAAAGTAACCACGACAAATCTATCGTGAGTAGAACTATGAAATAGTTGTAATGACTACATTTCATTGTAGTAATCACTTCTGCGGCCATAGTTACCGTAATCCATGCAAAATTGTTGAGGACTTTTTGACTATAGTTCGATGGTGATGGAATATAGTCAGAAGAATCAATTTTTCTCTCAGTGCTATTACATAGTTTACGGTCGGAATTAGGCGGAATAACTGGTATACCAGTTATTGCGTTACGGTAGTTTAGTATGCACCGTAGAAACTTCCTGAAAATTCTAGAGTTTTCTGGAAAATTCTCGAATTTCTTGGAAAATTCTAGAATATTCTCGAGTTTTCTTCGAAAACTCGAGAAATATTTCGAAGAAATTCTCCGGTTTTCGAGATATCCCAGAAAATTCTTTGGTTTAACAGAGAATTCGAAAAAACCCTTAAATTTTCTAGAAAATCGGAGCAGTTCTCAGGTTTTCTAGAAAATTCGAAGGAATTCTCGAGTTTTCTAAAAAAAAGTTTTTTGTTCCAATTGAGCAATTCAATTTTAAATTCCGATTGACTAGCTGTGTGGCCCAGCGTCGCTCGGGAGAATAAGACAAAATTGAATACCAGGATTTTTAAGAATTCCCACAATAAAAAAAAAACACCTCAATATTTTCGATTTTTCTGGAACTCTTCAGAAGTCAAGAAAATTTGAGGGTTTTTCAAACAAATTGAGGAAATTCTCGAGCGGTCTAGAAAAGTTGAAAATATTGCAGTATTTTTTTCTTCAATTGCAGGAATTCTCAAAAATCCTAGTTCCACTCAAAGTACTAGAGAAGATTTTAGCACCTGTCAAGTATAAATTATCATATTTTCTCTAAAAAACAACGGATTTCAAAAAATCAAAAACCTTTGTATTCTTGAGATTCCAAAAAACATTTTTTACTCGAAGCTTTTTCGCATACGAATCAAAATGGCAGCACTAAACTCATTTAAACATTTAAATCGTTAATAACTATTGAATGCCTACCTCATTCGCAAAAAAAAATACAGATTCGATTTCAGCACATCAGAATTGTTCAGAAGTTTCAAAACTTTACATCGATTTTATGCCTTTTGGCCTCAGCATATTAACCAACACAGCCAGTCCCGAATATTTGAGCAGCAAAAAAAAGAGCGTTCCTCAATTGAGATAAATTTTCTAGCCAAATGAGCCTCACATAATTCTCTGTAGAACCAATGTATTTACCCGAAAGACAACTATCTCACGAGAGCAATTACTCCTACAAAAATCATCATGTTGAAACCTTTTTGTGTCCACAAGTAAATCGATTCAAAACGACAAAAGACCTCTTCTACGGAACACATAATTTTCCGCCGAACAAATTTTTCCTCCCAGTGCACCAGATACCCAAATGTGCCACAATTTATCACTTCCCCGCATACAGTTTCAAGAAAGAACGCAACATAATGCATTCGTAAATGTTGAATACTGACATTTACACATTGACTAGCTTCAAATATATAAAAGTCAGGGTAAGATTTACACACGGAAAATGGAATTGGATGGGAAGCCTCGACCATCAACAGCTCGTATAAGTGCCTCAACGGTAGGATGATGTTTACGACTACGACTTGGCTACTTAGCCGCGTGACGGCATCACTGACCAAATGTGCCTTTTAAAACCCCTCGTATCCTCTCCATCCATCCTCACACACTATCTAAAACTATTATTTAATGGCAATGCATAAAGCCCTATCGATTGATATACAATATTTTGCAGGAGAATCTGCGAAAACACGTATTATCGACGAGACGGCATCCGGGGAAGATGATATACGAGTGCGAGACTTGCTGCAGGAGTGGGCTGACTTATACCACCAACTTCAGCAGAGAACTGCGCGCTCACTTGGTCGAGGAACATCCCGAGACATATCCCACTGTGAATCATGCTAATGATTATGTGTCATCGATATTCAGTGCGGGAGAGCCATGACGACCGGGTGATTATTCATTCTGATGATGAGGTATTGTGACGTTCTTAATTACGACTGAGGAATGATGAGTAAATGAATCATTTGACTTGGAAGTATTTTTGCGATTATAATATTGATCGCACGTGTTTTTTCGTTAATTAATATTTAAGGGTTTACACTATGTTCCAATTCATTTGGCGCGTCTCTTTTCGATTTTGACGTGAAGAGAAAAAAACATGAAATTTTGATGTTTTTGTAACCGCTCTAACTATAATGCCGGGGTTACCTCACTCTCAATCAGGGAAATGTTCATATCTCCCAAAAAAATAATGAACTATTGAAAAAAATTCAGCGGCTGATAAATCAATTCTTGCTTGAAAGTGCGTATAAGTTGCAGAATTTTCTAGATTTCATAAGAAAGTTATTTGAAAAAATGATACGGGAAATTATGAGTTTCGGGGCAAATTCTATCCATGGAGGCTCACGTGCGGCAACGACGCCTTCACCGTGAGTGGCGCACAATTCGAATGTCAATGTAATCGCTGGAGCATCATGGGAGAGGTATATGTTAGAGCATGGAACTGAGAGAGAGAGAAGACACTCCGCAGGTTTACCAATTCGAAATAACGATAGGCATGATCCGTGCGGCATTGCCATGTCTCTGATGCATTTTACTATTGTTTCAATAATCCGAAAAACATCCAGTAAAAAGAAGTTGACCCTCGCAAGTGATGGGAAAAAATCAATCAATCTGACTAAAAAATTAATACTCAAGAAATGTTCAAATGCACGAGAACAATGAGACTCCCCTTGCGTTGCACCCCCTTGACAAACACAGACGAAACCCCTTAAATTTCGGCGCCGTGAAGACACTAATTTTTAAAGAGCGTTTTAAAAACACGGAGACGTTGAAGGTCAGAGAGTCACAAATAACGAGCTACTGCATCGTTTGTTGCCTACCTGGGCTGATAGGTGTCGCAGAAGCTCCCCCTCGCCGCCCCATGTGTGTCGACTCAAGCCGAGTGGGACAAAAATTAAGGAGAAAACCGAGGCGTCGAATGTCCCAAGTGTGAAGGATAATTTATCGACTAATTAACGAGGTTGTCCTTCATTACCAGTTGGAGAGAAACAGAGTCGATTCCTCTTCCTCCCCCAGATCCTTCCAGAGGCCTTCTATCTTTATTTCTTTATTTCCCTTATTCCTTTTATTTCCTTCACTGTTCTTCGGAACGTTGTGCCTGTACTGGCGTTATTTGGCGCCCGAATATTTACGACCATGAGGGGCCCCGAAGGAAAAAAAAGGGAGGAGAGATGAGCCGCTCTGTGCGGCTCTCGTGGTGGTGATGGTGCCCCTTTCCTTTGACTTCAGGACCAAAACTCGATAGGTAGAGAGAGAGAGAGAGAGAGAGAGGAGTTACCGAGAGCCATAACAATGTGTGTCCCGATCCTCACCACGATTTCAAAGGACAAAACCTCTGTGGAATTTCCTCAAGATGCAAATGACGCATTTTTTCAGGTGAGACCCTGATAGTTCACACCCAGAGTTGGAAATATGTTTTTTCCACAAGCCCAGAGTTAGATTCCGCAGCCCAGAGTTGAGGTTAGGTGCCGAATGGCGGACGAACTCTGGACACACACTGAGAAAACAAGTGTTTTTTGAGAAGTATGGGGAATTTCGGGTTGAAATAATACGAGGCAACAATTAATGTTATATTTTTCTCTTTATGTTTACACACGGGTATGAAGAACATTCTAGACATTCTTGCACGGAGAAAAATATTCAGTAAAAAATACGGCCAATTCACGTAATCCGCAATGGGGAATGGTTTTCCGGCAATTTTTATAGGAATGGAAGAGAAGAAATCTGAAACGTTCAGTGAATTCTCAGGCTCATCACCGAACAAAGTACGAAATTGTCACGTAATTCTTCCCGAAGAAGTACAATCTTACAGAAACTTGCCGACTTATTATGCCTCCAAAATCAAAAATTCTTGAACGTTCAACAATTTTTATGAAGCTGGTGAGTTATTTCTACGTTCTGTTCCGTAAAATTTCTCAATCGTTGGGGAAAAATTACGGAACGACTTGTCCCCACAGCGGTGAGTCATCAGATGGCTGGTTAATTTTTACGGAACAAATCGTAGAATTTACGAGGCGATTCGTACAATTTCAGTTCCGACTCACACTTTTTATTGAATTTGACTTCGCTCCAGGATTACCTTTCGAAACGTAATTTTTACGTTTTTTTCCGGTAATTTTTATTGGATTTTTCTCTTCGTGAGGGGACTTACTCGAAGATTAAAAAAAATGAATGTCATTAAAAACCCCTTACGATCCGGTGATCGAAGATTCTTTTAAATTTCTCAATTGAGACCGAAAAAATCTCTCAAATTAGGTAACTGTAATTCCAAAACATTCTGAAAATGTCATTTCATTGAATTACAATTTCGCTGCGATTACCTTTCGCACAGTAAAATTTGCTACGATTGTCTAGATAATTTTTACCCAACTTTTCTCTCCGTGTAAGCAACCCCATCCACAGCCTCCACAGGCATTAATGTATATACGTACCTAACCACGGTGTATCAACCCACTGCGGTTTACACTTCTCTCAACTCGCCCACCCCTCTCGGCGTTCTGACTTGCGGCTGGTATTTACGATACCGCAGCGAGTGAATCGCCATGTATATCTATATACATTTTATTACATGAAAACGAAGGAGAGTGAGGATCTGTAGTGGCTGCCGAGTCTTTGGGGACAAATTTTCAGGTGTAATTGGGAGAATGAGACCCGCTGAATTCGGGTAGGATTTTTCGGGGTTTATAATACGTTTTGCAGACACGCGGATCTCGGGCTTACCGACGAAATATTTTATGAAGTCATTGGCACACGTGAGCCTCAGTAGATAGAATTAGCCCCGAACCTCATAATTTCCCGTATCATTTGTTAAAATAACTTCGATCAGATTTGCCAATCACCTCAAACCACAAATGACTTTGAATTTTCTGTCAACTTTTAAGATTTGATTCATCACCCACTATTTTTTGTTCATTAGTTCATTAATTTTTTGGGAGATATCAAAAATTTTCCTGATTGAGAGAGAGATAACAAAACCATCCAAATTTTCTCATTTTTTTTGTTGATTCCGAGACCCAGAAAAAATACGAAAAAATTCCCAACGAGGCAGTATTGGATTATGGGGTTTAAAAATAAGAAACACTTTTTATCTATGTGCACACTTTAATTGAAAAATCTCTAAGACTACACAGTCAGGAGGTAGTGGACACTATGAATATCTACGAGAGACTAAAGATGATGGCTAGTGAGGCCCAGGGTTAATATAGACCTAGGAGGGCAATATAATTTCCACCCCCTGAAGCAACGCTCGGTCTTTCCTTCTTGACCCCGCCTGGTTGCCAGGTGTACTTGTGGGAAAAACCCACATTTGGGAAAAACCCATCAATAAAAGTCCCGAGAGGACTTTTCCCCATTTTACACTCTCAGGGAAGACTCCATAGCAATATGGAACAATAAACCTTTCCTTAAGGGGAAACGGAACCCCTGTGTCTATATCAGTAGCGAAGAGGTAAACCGGGTTAAGTCGATTTTGACTTTTGGCCATTTTTTGACAAATATCTCGGAATCTAAGAGAGATAGGAAAATTTAGCTCGTAACCTTTTTTATAACCCTCAGCTGGCTCTACAAATAAGTTCTTGACAAAAATTTTTCTATCTCTTTTAGATTCCCAGATATTCGTCAAAAACTGGCCAATAGTCAAAATCGACTTAACCCGGTTTACCGCTTCGTTACTGATATGAACTTTTAGAACTGTGTTTTCTCCTGAAATTATTATTTTTTATTCATTAAACTACTTCATTGACTCAACAATACGATAATCGAGTCGATAAAGTACTTTCATAGATAGAAATTAATAATTGTAGGAGAAAACACAATTCTAAGATTTGATGTAGACAAAGGAGGTTCTGTGTCTATAGGAACTTTTAGAACTGTGTTTTCTCCTGCAATTATTATTTTTTATTCATTAAACTACTTCATTGACTCAACAATACGATAATCGAGTCGATAAAGTACTTTCATAGATAGAAATTAATAATTGTAGGAGAAAACACAATTCTAAGATTTGATGTAGACAAAGGAGGTTCTGTGTCTATAGGAACTTTTAGAACTGTGTTTTCTCCTGCAATTATTATTTTTTATTCATTAAAATACTTCATTGACTCAACAATACGATAATCGAGTCGATAAAGTAATTTCATAGATAGAAATTAATAATTGTAGGAGAAGACGCAATTCTAAGATTTAATACAAACAAAGGGCTTCCGTTTCCCCTTAACATAAAATAACTTAGGAGAGTGAATTTTGATCTCGGGCAAAACCCCGAAATCCAACAGGCAGCATATGTAGATACTTCTCCCACGAATTTTTCAATTTTTTTTTCATTATTTCGACATTTCACACGAGACAACTTAACTTGAGAGACTTTCTTTTCCTAATGAGTTGGATGCGTGAAAAGCGCAGAAACGATACCAACGAAACAACGAAGAAGGAGTGTCTGATGTAGTGACGCCGCGAGAGACTTCACGAGACACTACTTTGAACAGATGGTCTCGGTCTCAAAGAAGATGGAAATCTTTGGTCTCGTCTGTCTCGAAATACGCAGTATCGACTCCTCTCGTGATGACTCCGAGTCAATTTATCTCATCGCGGTGTCAAGTTTTTCGTGTTTTTTAACGCGAAATCTTGGTTTTTGTCTCGGTTTGTCTCGTACCGGTCCTCTACATATAAAAAACGCCAAAAACTGGAAACCTAGATTATGTAAATTGACTCGGAGTCATCACGAGAGGAGTCGATACTCCGTATTTCGAGACTGAAACGAGATCAAAAATTTCGGTGTTCACTGAGACTGAGACAATCCCTCCAAAGTATTGTCTCATAATGTCTCGTGATGTCTCGTGAAGTCTCGCGGCATCACTAGTCTAATGGTTTGTCGGAGTTGCG